TACAATCAGCCCGACCACTTTGTCGTATGGTTCAGGCCAACTCTGCACAAGATGGTGAACCCAAAGCTCCACCAATAAAACACCTTTTTGCTAGTAATCTCTCTTGTATAGAAAATAGTTAATCTGTATAGATAGAAAAGAGTAGACTATATATAGGCTATAAGGACCTTACAGTTACACCAAAAATAATGACCATTAACCAGAAAATGGTTACACAAAATAATGACCATTAACCAAGTTCATGAATTCTATTTAACCTCCATTTATGACCAAGAGGTTACCAAAGTAATAAACCCATTTATGAAAACGATAACCATAAAATAATATTAAGATATTAAATGGTCCAACAGAATATTTTTTTTTTTTGAATGTTGATGTTTGTTTTTGTGAAATTCTGTTTGAAAAAAAAAATTTGTTGTAAAAAAAAATTTGTGAATTTTGAAAAATGAAAAATTGATCTGTTTTTGTTTGAGTTTTTCTACAAACAGATGAGAAAGGGAGGGAGGGAAAGAAGAAAATCAGTTGGTTTGGAGTGAGCTGGCAGATTTGCCATTTGCCAAAGTTGTTGTCAAACTTGGCAACAACTTTGTCATTTGCTATTTTTAACAGTTGCTATATCTCACCATTGGAGAATCCTTTTTTCTCAAAGATGTTATAATATAGCTTTGGCAGCACCAACGGCAAACCATTAGAGATGCTTTTAGAGATGCTCTAAGTAACATTTAATGCATTGCAAATATCCTATGAATGAATTATTGAAATTTGTTTGAAATAAAATTAGTCTTTATAATTTTGAAAATTATAAATACATTCTTATCAAAATTTATTATTTAATAGAGTTAATAGAAAAAAATAAAATTTCCAGTTACCCTGAAATTATTCAAAATTTGAAAAATACTAAGAATTAGTAAATTTTAAATATTTTTCCATTATAAATGAATTACTGAAATTTATTTGAAATACCTAATACTTTTTATAATTTCGAAAATTATATATGCATTCTTATAATAATTTATTTGAAAAATACTATTGATAATTAGTAAATTTTAAATATTTTTCCATCTAAGTAATGTATCTTATGAATGAATTACTAAAATTTATTTGAAATACATATTACTTTTTATAAATTTGAAAATTATAAATGCATTCTTATCATAATTTATTTGAAAAATACTATTGAGATTTAGTAAATTTTAAATATTTTTCCATCTAAGTAACATTTACCGCATTGCAAATATCCTATAAATGAATTACTGAAATTTGTTTGAAATACAAATTACTATTTATAATTTTGAAAATTATAAATACATTCTTATCAAAGTTTATTATTTAATAGAGTTAATAGAAAAAAATAAAATTTCTAATTACCCTTTTGTGCAAAAAATAAAATTACTTGACATCATTAAAAATTATTTAATTAATTTAATAATTAAATAATTAAAATAAATTATTTATTATACAATAAGAATTTATTATGCGGTTAAAAATTTAGAAAGTGCACCCTTAATATTTTAAGCAAGGAAAATGCTATAGGTCTCAAATTTTTTACCAAATATATGACTATATATTTTACATGGATATGGGGTCCACTAAATTGCAAACTCCACACCCATGTGAGATATTTGGTCATTTATTTGGTAGAAAATTTAATATCTCTAATATTACCCTTTAAGCAAACCATGTTGTGGAAATTGTGTACTTAAATCAAATAAATAGATTCATATTGAACAACCACTTTGAATTTCAGAATAAGAACATATTAAAATTTATAGAAATTCATAATAAAATAAAACTAGTAGTAAGAAGCAAACCGAAGCCTGTACGGTAGCAGTTTCCTTAAAACAAATTTCGCCGCCCCACGGGTCGAGTGCTTGAGGAATTCCGGCGTCTGTCTCCCAGGATACGACGGTAAAAAACCAGCTATGGTAGAAGCACTTTCTGTCTAGCATAGCAAACAAAACGATGACAGTACTCTCTCACTGTAGGAACTTTCTAGCAAACTGACTTGTAAAAAGGAAGCAAAAATTTCTGTGTTTGAGACTTGACAGGAGGGTCTCAATTTATACATGTATAGGGGAGAGAGGAGAAGCCTCCAGCCTTTGTGGCTGGTCACTAATGCACCATTAACCTCTGCAATAAAGGCAGAAGTTACAAACCCCATTAACTCTTTCATGAAGCTAATTTCATGAGGCAATATCTCATTCAAATCTCAATGGTTTTTAGTCATTCTATTTGTGGTGTAAAGATTTCATTGCAAAGTATCTAGACCCACTTGGACCCAACACAATAGATGGTTGGGACCCACTTTAATATTTAATTAAAGTCACCAAAAAACCATTTTTTCCAACAAACCATATCCAAAAGAAAAATGTTATAGACCCTAAATAAATTATCAAATTTTCTATCAAATCTCTCACATAAGTATGGGACCCACACACAGTAATTTATTAATATCAAAATTTCCCTAATATTTATTTGGAATCCAACTCTATCCAAAATTTCCAATATTTACGTGTCTTCGCTTTTAGGTCCCCACAATTTAGAGAATTCCGGCGGTCATATCGTAATATCAAGCATTCTTGAAGGACAAATATGTAATTAGACAACAACAGTGGTGTTTTCGTAATTCGAACAAAACTCAGGGGGTAATATTTGGAAACAATTTGGTGCTTTTGGTGGACGGCATTCTGGAACTTCTATATAATGCGAACCCCCGAAGAATCTTCCATCATTCCATATTCTTCCAACTCAAAAATGAGCCAAGAAAATAAAAACTAACGTCTCTCTCTCTCTCTCTCTCTCTCTCTCTAAAAGTCTTTGTGTGACTTTTTTTTTTTGCAGTGTTTTGCAAAAGTGAAATAGTGTTACTATGTTCTCTACATTTTGTCGAAATTGCTTCTTCGAATTGTATGCTCATGTTTTAAAAGTCATGTAGACTTTCTCAAAATTGGTTTTATGTTGAATTACATATTAAGTATTTCTCAATAAGTCCTTTGATAATTGTAGCAAGCCATTCAAGGTCTGTGAGGATTTTGGAGAAGATGGACACAAAATTTGACCCTGAGGAAGTCATAGAAGAATTCGAGATGCTAACAAAGGATGCTGAGAGAGTTCAGAAAGAGACCCTGCAGAAAATACTAGAAGAAAATGGCAGCGCAGAGTACTTAAAGAAATGGGGTCTTAATGGAAGAACTGACCATGAGAGTTTCAAGGCATTTGTCCCCCTCGTCACTCACAAGGATTTGGAACCTTACATTCAGAGAATGGTGGATGGTGATACTTCCCCCATCCTTACTGGAAAACCAATAACAACCATCTCATTAAGGTACTTGTAATTAATTGTTATTTTCTTGATGCTTTTTTTAGCGACTTTTTTTTCTGATAAAAATTGTTTGGATGTGAAGTTCATAGCGTCTGTCAATACTTTGTTTCTTGCAGTTCTGGCACCACTCAGGGAAAGCCCAAGTTTTTCCCGTTCAATAACGAATTGATGGAATCCACTATGCAGATATATAAGACATCTTTTGCATTTAGAAACAGGTTATATTCCTCTGTTTATTGCAAAAGGATTTTTAGTTCATATTAGTATCAGATGCCCTTCTCTTTCAAGTTGACCTTAAAAATATTTGGTTGGAATTGTAAGTGATTATTAGATGTTTTGGAAGTTACATTTCACTTGTCTATTAAATTTTATTTTCTTTGTTTGGAGGAATCAACAATATACAAAGCGTTCATGAATATGTCAATTAGTCATTTTTCGGACTTTGACATTTCCACAATCAAGATGCTCCTTTTTTTTTTAGGGAATTCAATTTGTTTAATGCTCGTCACTAGGCAATAACAAGTTTTGTTTTAAAATTCTCCCCATTTGCCAATTGTAGTCTTACAGTTGATTAAATGATTTTACTGTTTTTTCATCCTTTGTGTAGAAGTTTCTAAGATGGTTATTAATCTTTGTGAGGCATGTGTGTATATACTCTCTCTCTCTTTCTCTCTCATTCTTCCGAACATCCAAAAACAAATTTGAGCCATTGGATTGGTTTGGAAATTCCACACCCATACAAATGGACACAAACTCTCCCATCCACTTTCCTTATGTTTAAAATTCTCTGCATTGCCCATTATTAGCATTTAATGTGTTTCTGCTTGTAACGCCTTCAAAAGTAACAACATAAACGCTCAGATAAGACATGCATTTACATTATAAAAACCCTAACAATTCTTTTAATACATTAAGAGTTTCCATTACTTAAGTATTACATGTTAACATCATAACAAAATGCCCTACGGCCTTACAGCTTTCCAAAGTTAACACTTGGTTACAACAAAAGTACTAACTCGTTTACACATTAAGCCCTAGGCTTGAAGTTACATGTAATACATCAAAAGTTAAGCGACAAGGTATGTCGCCACTAGCCTCCCAGCTATGTCCTTGGAGGTGGCATGCTTCCTGCACCTGAAAATGATATTCCCATATAGGGTGAGCCACAGCCCAGTAGAAATAAACTAAACAACCATGAACAATGACTAAAAATATTAGCAATTGAATAGATGGCCCAACACTGAATCAGTTCACATAAATTATAGCATTTATGTCTTACAACTTATGAGTCCTAAGTTACCTTTCATTTTCCTTTTTCAACAGATAGAGCATGCAAGCTCTATCATTATTTCCACAGACATGTTATAAAAACTATATTCTCACATTCAGATAAGGCATAAAAGCTTATATCCACATTCAAAAGATATGTATAACAACAATATCCACATTCACAGATAAGAATATAAGCTATATCCACACTTTACTAAGATAAGCATATAAGCTCTATCTTCACTTCTCTAGACAGCATATGAGCTGTGTCTACGGAGTTCATCCCTATCTTCTCCCACACACTATCCGGTTTAGAGGTAATACGGTTTTAGAGGTACATCCCTATCTTCCCCAAACCGCGGGAGTACATCCCCTATCTCCTCTCTCTACACATAACGTATATAAACACATTGGTTCTATATACAATCACCCAATACATACAATTAATGTATTCTATCAACCGTCAAAGTTCCATGACACATTTCATTGATTAGTTTCAGTTACTAATCATCATGCATTGTCTACAACAATCACGACCTATCCACCGATAGCCAAAAGCAGTTATTTCTAAACAGTAAAATAAATGCACAATGGATATATCAATACAACATTTCATTTCCTCATTTCTTCTCAAATTAATTATCCCAATTAATTAAGACACATGTAATAGGTCAAAATTCCCGATAATTTAACTTTCAACCCTTAGTCCCATTTTCATCAATTGATTCAACTCATTTCAATTTCTCTATTCCAAAACATGCATCTAGGTTGATTGATGAATAAATACCCAACCTTTTGTAAAATTACACAAAAGCCCCAAACTTTCACAAAAATTATCAAACCGCCCAACATCTCAAAATACCAAAATTTAAAGACAAAAAACCCATGTAGAGGAGTAGACTATCCTACTCGAAGTTTAAGCCACAAAGGAGATGAAACTCGTGAAGATCAACTTGCCTCGAAATCCAAACTTTTCAGTTAAATCGAAGCTCTCAACACCCTCTATCTTTAACTCAAGCCCTAGGCTAGATTACACCCTTAGGAGATCAAATCTTAGAAGAGAGTGCAAAGTTTAGAGAGATGAGACTGCTCGGATTATAGGTTTTGCCAAAGAAAGGGATTGAAAAAGTGATGTTTAAGACGTACTGTCCGGTTCGATCATAACACGCTCGCTCGAGCGGAAGACTTGGTCGCATCGAGAGCGACCAGACACAGAAAACATTCCTTGCCTGGAGCCCAAGAATCTCTCGACCTCGAGCGAAGAAAATCCAGACGCGTTCGATGCGAAAGGACGCTCGACTCGAGCCAAGAAAGGCAACCTCAGAGTCCAGAACCAGAGCAACAAACTCTCGCTCAGCCGAATAACTCCTTGTTCGAGCGAAGACCAAAAATCTGTGGTAGCAACACTAGGCTTCCCAAACACAACCAAGCCTTAACAACCTGCCAACACACTCTTAAAACTCAATATCAAAAGTAAGAGGATGCAAACTAGATAATAAAACAATTTTCTACCAACATCCACGGACCTGTCCGGTCACTGTACAAGCAGTAACCCGGATCGCTATAACCTCCCCCCTTTAAAGAATTTCGCCCCCGAAAATTAAGGCACAAAGTTTTCAAAAAAAAACAAACGTTTTTCTCGTCCATTTTTAGACAATGTTACAATTTAACATTCAACAATTCGACCCATTAGACGGTCACCCATCCTTTAACAAGAGACATCCAATATGTAAAAACATATGTATTTTCAACATGCATCGAACTATTCACTATCTTTCCCAATTTCCCCATATAATCAACATAGTAATGACATTCAATTCCAATATGACGGCAACGTTCACAAAACATACTTCCAGATAACTCAAACTTTTCAATGTTTCACATCACTTAGACATATATAAAAGCTCTTAGTAGTTCAACAAAAATGTAAAATTAAATACAAGATCACAATATTAACAAAACAAGATCCGGATATTCTCTCTACTTCCAGACACGTTCCAAGTGGCTTTCCTCTACTCTGATGTTTCAGCAAGACTTTTACACAATAGGAATGGTCTTTGCCACGCAGGACTGATCGCTAATC